TATTTCGCAGTTAGTGATGTGTATCCTGATTTATTATCATGGATGCAGGATTTTCATCATGGTTATCTGGGAGATATCGCCTACCGTTAAGTGTGAGTACTAAGTACCTGCTGAAGTAAGGGCCTAGAAGTGGCACTGGTACCCGCCACGGTTGGTTGGTTGAAACGGTGGTTGCCCTCCACTCGGCAGTGATATCCTTCTGAGGCCAAAACTTCATATTCATTCGCCTTTGAATCCGTTGAACTGGATAAAAATTGGGGCTGTCGTTGGCCATAGTTCAGCACGGATATCACCGGAAATTGACAACCGAAAAATTAATCCTCAAAATGCTCAAGAATAGTGAAGGCCAGAGGATCGTTGAGGTGCGTTCGTTGCGCTCCCACAACGAGAACAATTCGGATTCGGATGAACGATTCGTGTCTGAATAAAACCAGACATCCTCAGGAGATGACCTGTTACAGTTGATCATGTATTCAGCATATACCCGCGTCAAAGGCAATATTTAATCTGACGAGAGCGATGAACATATTAATCCGTATTTACTGTGAAAATGGATCTTTTCTGCTGTTTATTTTTTTGATAGACATTGGTTACAGTTGCCACCTGTTGTCGAGAAGTTAGTTCGCACGCAGTTTGATCTGTTTACTGTCTTCGTCTGGCCGATGCTGCGGTGGTACTTAGGACATTTCTTTTGCAGCTGTTCACTGTATTCCACAGTATTTTTCATTGCTGAGCACCTGGAGAGCGGAGCTCATAGATCAGCCGAGCCAAAGTTTATTGACATGGAAAGGATTCCCAAGATTCCACTTTTCCTAGGATTTTCTCAATTAGGAACAAGGTATGCTCATCTGACGAAAAATCATTTATTACCCAGAACCAAATGCCGGAGCATTTGGAACACATCGATAAAGAAACTATGAATTGCGACATAATGCGATGTAGTACATAGTATGTGCATGCATAATTGGCCCATAACCCATGTAACACCAGATTTCACGGCATATTTAATAGCCACCTTGCTCCAGTCACTCAGAGGGGGGGGGCATTTATGGAGACATCCATACTTGTTGATTCAAGTATCTGCTTTACTGGACATATCTCGCATAGCTTTGTTTGCTGGAGCAGATTCATGATGGTTTGATGGAGTAACTTCATGACTGTCACGAACGATTTTTCTTTAAACATATGCTTTTGAGGTAGCATAACGAGAGGTCCGACGGCTAGAGTACATGAACGCATTACGTTGTCGCTTCTTGGCGTGTGGTTTTGTCAAAAGCTCCTCACAGCTATCGTAACAACTTATGAGTGTGCATTTTGCCATGCCTCGCCCTGCGTACGATCTGGTAGACTAGCGGGCAATCGCATTTACCACGCAACATTGATAATGCACAAGAGATCTTACTAGCGGATGGTGTTTTAATAGGTTTCTTTGCTTTGTTTCGGGGGACCTAGTGTTATCATTAAAAGATGCCGCTGAACGTAGGTTACTGTCGTACATTTTCCTTTCATAGATTTGCAGTATTTCCCTCCCTGATGTTTCCTTTTGTTCCACATTTTTAAACGATTGTCTTAAACGATAAGGACTCTTATCATCATATTTTATTGGTCAAATATTTCCTAGTATCTAGCAGAATTTTATCGGTTACGGAAAAATGTTATGGAAAATACATTCAGATATGTCTTTGCTCAATCGTGCTATTGATTAGTTTTTGTCGTCATCCAGTATCCTCAACATTACAACGGGATAAGGTTCTCGTACACTTGGGCTTTCGGTATATTATGTAACGTTTTAGGCATTTTACAAACAAACGTAGGAGAATGTTGAATTAGACATTGCTGCAATATTTACAACGTTTTTGTTTGTACTATTCTTGAGGGATGGATACAGGCTAAATGAACTTGACTGTGAGGTCCTGCTTCAATCCCGGCTAGTACCAAATATTCTAGGTTCAATCTTCGCTCGATCGTTCAGCTTCCACGTCAGCAATGATCTAGACGTCACGTGCAGTGCTGCTCTTTACACCGTTTCTAGATCACGGGCAAATGTAAACTCAAATTGAATAACAGCAGGCCCGGAACTTGTTTTGTGCGATCCAACAATTAAACTGACAGGCTTTTGACCAAGAGAGCATTATTCGTTCCAGTGCGAGCGTTGAACCTTTTTGCATGAAACGGCATGCGAAGTCGCAAACTCGCCCAACCTCACAGTCTATGCTGATGATGAGCGTTACGCTATCGATCCTGTAGCCGATGAGACGCGTCGACTCCTCGGTGTATAGGAGGGCTGCTGGTATGCCGACCAAAGAGGTATTGGCTGACGAGGGTCTTTCTGAAACACGAAAGTGTACATCAGCTTCAGAGGTAGCTGTCGCTGCTTCGTCCCAAGTGAGTATTACCAGTTATGAAACTTTTCACCAAGTTCTGCGCTATCCCTCGTTAGTCATCTCTTGGCCTTGGCGATGGAATATTCGTTCGTACGTTTGTACTCAAAGAATTACACAAGAAACGGTTTATTAATGCGCAGCGCAACAACAGGAGGATCTGTCAGGCTGGAATGGATTGATCGGTACCAACATTTCGACCAGTATCTCACGGGTCTTTTTCAAGGTCAGGCGGTTTCTTGATCACAGTCGCCGTTGGGTCCGCCCGCAGTAGCTGACCATGTGAAGTGCAACATTCAGTACTTTAAGGCTGCTTCTGTTCAAAAGCAGCAGACGGGCAAGCCAAACGATTGCAACCAACATACCACTTTACCATGAAGAGAACCAATGGTCGGTCAGTCACTCAACAGACTGTTATATTGCGTTTTGTAATAACAGATCATTTTTATTTAATGCCCTCAACATCTCTTGATGCATTTTACCATGAAGACATTGCCAGAGAATTGGATTAAGTGACCAACCGATGAGCTTCTTCTCTTTCTGCGGTACCTTCCGCAATTATCCAAGTTTATTCTAGTAATTAACGAGTTCATTTCTTTCGCCATACTGACCTTAGTGAAGCAGAATCGAACGCCCTAGATCAAATGGTTCGTTTACAGCCTTGCTTCTGTGCGAAGTAGTTGTTTGCTTGAACTTGTTCCAAAGCGTCAGCAAACACATTTCCAACAAAGTAGTGAAGAATACTACAGAATTTGCAGTCCATAGCTCGGTCAGACTCTCTGCCACTGTTTCGCCAACCATTCGATGTATGTATTTGCCAACTCCTCTTGCCTGGGACCTGAAAATGTGTTGCTGTTCCTTCTATGTGAAATGTCTTAGACCGAAAAGTTTGCTCATTCTTCCTTCCTGTACTTATTTATATTTAGTCATATTTGGCGAAAACATTTATTTGCCTTCGTTACCATGCTCCTTGATTTAGCTGCTCATCGACGAAGAAAGGAGAAAGAAACATGAAAAAGAACTCAAAGATCGTACCTCAAGACAACATGGATACTCGTAATGCGACCGCTATTTCCTCACTGAACCGCTATTGCCTTTTTCTGCTCCTTTCAGACCGATACCTTCGCATGTACCGGCGTTAACCGATAATCGATTTCAAGGCCTCTATGCTGATTTGACTCCACCCGCGCCAACCCGTGACTCGCGCATTACCGCACGTGCCCTCTATAGCTTTACAGCTCAGTCTCCGAGGTACGTTTTCAAACTAGGTCTGAACAATTGCTGATTCAGCTGGTTCGTTGCAGGGAGTTGAGCTTCGAAGCCGGTGACACTTTCCTCATTCGACATTCTATCGATAACAACTGGTACGAAGCTGAACTGAACGGACGCATCGGCATCGTGCCCTCGAATTACGTTGAGGTACATGAATACTTTTCTACAGTTTTTACAATAAACGCACCACTGTGTGAATTTTTATTTTTCACACACTGATATTTATAAATACATGTATGATGCGTAAGCGTACGTTTTAAGTTGCTATTCCCCTTATCAAGCGTAAAGAATTTTCTGCATATGCAAAATGCTCTTGAATGTAATACATATGCTGACAGTTTGCTATTGTGCCACATTTACTGTTACTGTTGCGGCATGCGGAATATGTATTATGTGCTGCATACTATGAACATGCATATACAAATTTATATATATTATATAGTATGTGACTGTATTCAATACTATAGTGTATAAGCAATGTTTACGTATACGGTTAGATTAACTCAGTTGGTAGATCGCTGAATTACTGAAGATCGCTGAACCAAATCGCGATCGAATCGATCGCCTTTTCCTATTCATTTTTCTTTTCCCTACCTTGTTGCCTATTAAAGGGGTTTGCGCTTGGCATCGACTGCCTCAACAGTTTTCAGTGTTCACTCAAGTCTCTGATCACTTCTCACAGCTTCTTCTGATTATCTGCTACATTGCGCCATTTTTTTGTCTTCCTATTCCTCTCTTTCCTAGCAGTACCAGAGCACTGATCACATTTCTAACATATACTTTGGGTTTTCTTCTCACGTCCCGGAACCGATCAGGCTGCTTTGTATAAAATTTTCCCAAGTTTCTTCTACGCCTAATGTGCCTCTTTTCTAACGTGCTTTTTTTTGTTTTACCTCTCTTACCTCTAAGGTATTCCATATGTGATCGCTTTTGACAACACCACACATTCACTTCAGCATGCGCATTTCTACGTCGTTCAGCTGTTGCTCGTGTCTGTTCAGGGTAGCCAAAAATTCGCTATGTACAGAAGCAAGGGTCTTACTGCCGTTCTGTACGCCTTTCCGTTCAGTTTAGTAGGCACAGTACTCCTCTCACTCTCACTTCTCACTTTCTCATCGCACAGTACTCCTCTCACTTCCCTCCGTTTGAGTCAAACCTTTTTTGATCGATTTTCCCATCTGCTTTATGCAGATCTGTAATTATCGCGTCTGTCGCAGTCGAAGAGAAATTCGGTCCAGTGCTAAAATGTGACGACTTTTGTCCGCATAGGGAATTCTTCTCTTTCACCGCATGTACTTCGAACTATCGTTGTAACTTTGACGTATGTGTCTTTGCTAAGCCTGAAGTATTTGTCTGGCACCAGCTTCTTATGCTCCACCAAACTGCCTGCTTTGATATGTGGTTAACGTCTTTGTTCAGGTCTAGAAGCACCATGCGGATGACCTTGTTGCTTTCTTTCTTTATTTCGACCACACTTTTTGTCCTTGTATTGTAGATAAACTAGTTACATTATCGGCAAAGAAAGCAAAGGATTAAGTGCTGTACATCTAAAATAAATCCTATGTAACCCCTGGCCGAGATCATAATGGAAATTGATAGCTTTTTGAACTATGCTGCAAATCTAGCTCTACAACCGTAGTCCTTTGAGGAGGCCGTCATCTTAGCTGTTGCAAACTATTCCATCCTTTAATAATGTGAAGTTTACCCTAACTATGAGTGACGTTTTCCCTTTAAAGAGCTTAAAGAGTACAGTATTTCGATCAAATAATTTTAGCTTCTTCAAGTATCGGGGAGATTCGTATTATAAATTACACAGATAAAATTTGCATTATTTAATAGATAACCACGAGAAAATTTTCTACAGTTTCGAGAAACAGAGGCACACATGTCGAACAGTGGCTCCATCGGGCACCGGTGTTTCAGCTTTGACGGAAGATAACCCCAGTCTCCGGCAGATCCTGTCGAGACACTTGCCCTAAGTCATTTTCGACTGTTACCAGGGGTATTCGGTCGATCGTTCAGAAAAATAGTAGCTGTTTCGTCTTCCTTTCTTGAAGCGTTCACAAGATGTACTCGAGTCAAGTTCACAAGTGGCTGTACACTAACGCTCTCGAGGATATCTGCACCCTGGGTCTTGTCGATACGCCTGAGCCCGGTGGTTCATCTCAGAATGGCCATTTCAATCGACTGTATGAAGGAACCAAGTTCTTCAGTCATAACCCATGACTCATGATCATCGGTTAGCGTGAGGATGAGGATTGACTTGAACATAGTGAGCTGAGTTTTCAGCCCTTCATCATAATAAGTCACAACGATTTAGGCTAGTTGACGCGAAACGCCGCTGGCCAATCTAA